AAATTGCGAGGAACAAGTTTAAGCAATATGTGAACACACTTGCTAACATCAGCCAGGAAGGTGGTGAGAAGTATCTCGTTCTCAAAAGGAAATATAGAATTGGCACTCCACTTTCTGAATCTGAGTACCTCAGCCCTGGCTGTTCACCTGGAGGGGTCAGCTTCAACAGTACTAATCAGTTCAGTATTTATGGTTCACCTCCACATAGTGGAGGTTACAGCCCACAGCCTTGCACCCCAATGACTATACCTCCCCCTCCACCTCTTTCCAGAACAACTCCTCCATACCGGGCTCCTCCTCCATATAGACCCCCTCCTGTAACAACACCAACACATCAGGTTTATTCATCTCAGGAGGACCTAAAATATGGAGACAGAAGATTTGATCCCCCACCTCCTCACTTCAATGGACGTAATCAGGGAAGCGGTGAGTCAAGATATTCAGGGGAGCTTCCCATGTACACACCTACAGAAACAAGATACCCTGCTGTAGGTGAACCAAGGTACCCACCACCACCAGCACTGCCAGAGCCACTCTTTGGTGAGGCAAGGTACCCGTACGATGAACCTGCTGACCTAGGAATTCCTCTTGCACCACAAATGACTCGCCCTTCGAGTTCTCTCTCAGCATCCTCAAGCAGTTTAGTGACATATGGGGGATCTTCAGGCCCACAACCCTCTCCAGTATCTTTTGCAAACTATAGCATTCCTCCACCACCTTTGGCACCTTTGTCAGCCTCCCGTCCGAAAAGTCTACCTATTCAGCAAACATCATCCATTTCTTCTCCCTCGGAAGATGGTGACTCTGTGTCAGTTTCTGCTACACAACAACAACAGTGTCATCTGCCTCCACACCATCATCCGATGAACCCCCACCTCCAGTTCCACCAAGAAAAAGACCAGGAGAAAATAAAGAAAACTTAAGACCTTCTCCAGACGGAGAAGAAAGTGGAAAAAACGTAAGTTTCCCATTTAATTTTAATTACATATATTTTCTTAATTATGTTTTGCAACACTGAACAATAACAGGTAAACAGTGCCATATTTATTTAGATAGGAGTGGAGGCAAGTGGTTTTAATAATTTGATGGGCTGTTGGAGTGTGAGCTATGTAACGTTTAGAAAGGGCTTCTGGGAAACCGGTTAGCCGGACATAAGTTCTGGAGGTGGAAATACAGTGCCTGCCCTCTAAAGGAGGGGTGGAGACGTTGTGTTTGAAGGATCATCTGAACTGTGATATCGGCACCCTTCTGATAAGGCAATGATTGAATGAGTGATACCGAGTGTTTTCTTCTTTGTTGGGTCACACCTCAGTGGGCACTGGCTGGTGCATTAAAAATTTTGGAAAAGTAAAACACATTGTATATTCTAGTCTCACATTCCAGCAGACTAAGCGCTAGGTCTAAATATTCAGAATCTGATGAGGGGCTCTTGATCTGAGGAATTGGATGTATCCTGCACTTTGAATCAAACCTGATTGCCTCCCATTCCCAGCACTCTTAGACCCCCATACAGGATTAGCTCTTCCCCATGATATTTTTTTTACAGTACTAAGCGTGTTTTATATTCATGAATATTCATTTGTGGAATTGATTGATTATTGTTGTTTAATGTTCACCAGTACGCGGCCGGTCACGGGTCTTAATGGTAAGATGACCCGTCAGTAGTGCAGCATGTAAGCTGCAGGCAGGGTTGTAGCAGGGGTCCGTGGTCGCAGCTGCAGGCAGGGTTGTAACAGGGGTCTGTGGTTGCAGCTGCAGGCAGGGTTGTAGCAGGAGTCCGTGGTCGCAGCTGCAGGCAAGGTTGTAGCAGGGGTCCGTGGTCGCAGCTGCAGGCAGGGTTGTAGCAGGGGTCCGTGGTCGCAGCTGCAGGCAGGGTTGTAGCAGGGGTCCGTGGTCGCAGCTGCACTGACGTGCTCACTTCATCTCAACTTGCCTTCGCTCAACAATGTAACTCTCCGGACTCTGGAGCTCGTGGTCATGCAGTCGCCTTGATCATTCCGTGTAGTGACGGGATTGATTAGTGTGTCTTAGATTACTGTGTTTTAGAGTTACTGACGCATGCTTGAAATACTCCTACGTGTGATTGGTGTCAAGGACTAGGACCAGGCACTAGGATCAGGCATAACTGTTGACTGCTTGCTTCACCAGTCTGTTAGTGGCACGTAGGCCTACATAGCTATCGCAGTCTGGCTGATCAGACACTTGCAGGAGATAGCTGTCCAGTTTCCTTTAGAAGGTCTCTGCCTTCGTTCCTGTGTGAATCATTAGTAAATGCTGGAAGGTTGTTCTAGGGTTGTGGAAGATTGTGAGTAGGGCCAAACTGGTTCGTGAAGTGTAGTAACTCACACAGCAAGACATGTCATGGAGCTAACACAGGGAGGAAGACATGTCGGGGAGCTAACACAGGGAGCAAGACATGTCGGGGAGCTAACACAGGGAGCAAGACATATCGGGAAGCTAACACAGGGAGCAAGACATGTCAGGGAGCTAACACAGGGAGTAAGACATGTCGGGGAGCTGACACAGGGAGCAAGACATGTCATGCAGCAGCTTAAACAGGGAACAAAACATGTCAGGTAGCTTACACAGAGAGCAAAACATATCAGTCAACTTACGTAGGGATAAGACGTGTCAGATAGGTCACTGTGCACCACCGTGTGCATTGAAGCAGTAAGTGTAGTGAGAAGGTAAACATACTTGACACTGAGGTGAGGAAGCGAGTTATCCAACTGAAGGACGAGAGATAAGGATTTCCTGTAGGGAGTGTTGGTTCAACAGTCTTGTCAGTGTTTCCATACGAAGTATGCGTCGCCACTCTGTCTCCGGAGCCCTGCCACGTCGAGTCACCTTTAATCTCCCCGTAAGATCCTAAGGCGGTAACTCAAGAACAGGGAAGGTGGTGGGGGTGCCTTTGGTGCCATGATACGTAGACCATCAGGAAAATAAAAGTTCAGTACGGGGTGTGTGCCTGGCGTACCACCAGTTGTGCTTTCTGTATAATATCTCAATTAACGCTGTGAATAACGTAGAGTTTGTTAGTGTGTTTATTCATGTACAGGTACACATTAATGCAGTTACATAAATTATCATACGTAGCAGCATGTGTATGGATTACCTAGGATAACCTCCCAAAAATTCAGACAGTGACTTTTGTTGTTTGTACTTGTGTCGTAGAAATCTGCAGTGTGCTATCTGTATTAAAGAAAAGATACAGGTGGTAATTTCTCCTTAGTGAAGAAAAAATACAGATGCAAAACAAGCTAATATTGTGTCACCGTTGGTTGTGTTCCTTATGTTTAAGGTCGGCGCCAGTGGGGGAACAGAGGGGGGGGGGGCTCGGGGAGGCTTCAGCCTGGCCAAAAATTCTCTCGGTTCTCGTCCCCATCCAAATAAAATAACAATAATAAAACGTTGCTTCAAAATATTTCTCTTAGCCCCCACCCCCTTTCCCCTTCCCAACAAGATAGTCACCCCTAAGCCACATTAACCCCCTACCCCCAGTATGGAAGTTCAGGCGCCTGCCCTGTTGCTACTGCTGTATTTCTGCTTCTCATGTTGCTTCTGCTGATGTATGTGTTGCTGCTTCTCGTGTTGCTGCTTCTCGTGTTGCTACTTCTCATGTTGCTGCTGCATGTGTTGCTGCTTCTCATGTTGATGCTGCTGCTGCTGCATGTGTTGCTGCTTCTCATGTTGATGCTACTACTGATGTATATGTTGCCGCTTCTCATGTTGATGCTGCATGTGTTGCTGCTTCTCATGTTGATGCTGCTGCTGCATGTGTTGCTGCTTCTCATGTTGATGCTACTACTGATGTATATGTTGCCGCTTCTCATGTTGATGCTGCATGTGTTGCTGCTTCTCATGTTGATGCTGCTGCTGCATGTGTTGCTGCTTCTCATGTTGATGCTACTACTGATGTATATGTTGCCGCTTCTCATGTTGATGCTTCATGTGTTGCTGCTTCTCATGTTGATGCTGCTGCTGCATGTGTTGCCGCTTCTCATGTTGATGCTGCTGCTGCATGTGTTGCTGCTTCTCATGTTGATGCTACTACTGATGTATATGTTGCTGCTTCTCATGTTGATGCTGCTGCTGCATGTGTTGCTGCTTCTCATGTTGATGTACTACTGATGTATATGTTGCTGCTTCTCATGTTGATGCTGCTGCTGCATGTGTTGCTGCTTATCATGTTGATGCTACTACTGATGTATATGTTGCTGCTTCTCATGTTGATGCTGCTGCTGCATGTGTTGCTGCTTCTCATGTTGATGCTGCTGCATGTGTTGCTGCTTCTCATGTTGATGCTACTACTGATGTATATGTTGCTGCTTCTCATGTTGATGCTACTACTGATGTATATGTTGCTGCTTCTCATGTTGATGCTACTACTGATGTATATGTTGCTGCTTCTCATGTTGATGCTACTACTGATGTATATGTTGCCGCTTCTCATGTTGATGCTACTGCTGCATGTGTTGCTGCTTCTCATGTTGGTGCTACTGCTGATGTATATGTTGCTGCTTCTCATGTTGATGCTACTACTGATGTATATGTTGCTGCTTCTCATGTTGATGCTGCTGCTGATGTATATGTTGCTGCTTCTCATGTTGATGCTACTACTGATGTATATGTTGCTGCTTCTCATGTTGATGCTACTACTGATGTATATGTTGCTGCTTCTCATGTTGATGCTACTACTGATGTATATGTTGCTGCTTCTCATGTTGATGCTGCTGCTGATGTATATGTTGCTGCTTCTCATGTTGATGCTGCTGCTGATGTATATGTTGCTGCTTCTCATGTTGATGCTACTACTGATGTATATGTTGCTGCTTCTCATGTTGATGCTACTACTGATGTATATGTTGCTGCTTCTCATGTTGATGCTGCTGCTGATGTATATGTTGCTGCTTCTCATGTTGTATATGTTGCCGCTTCTCATGTTGATGCTACTACTGATGTATATGTTGCTGCTTCTCATGTTGATGCTACTACTGATGTATATGTTGCTGCTTCTCATGTTGATGCTACTACTGATGTATATATTGCTGCTTCTCATGTTGATGCTACTACTGATGTATATGTTGCTGCTTCTCATGTTGATGCTACTACTGATGTATATGTTGCTGCTTCTCATGTTGATGCTACTACTGATGTATATGTTGCTGCTTCTCATGTTGATGCTACTACTGATGTATATGTTGCTGCTTCTCATGTTATTGCTACTGATGTATATGTTGCCGCTTCTCGTTGATGCTACTACTGATGTATATGTTACTGCTTCTCATGTTGATGCTGCTGATGTATATGTTGCTGCTTCTCATGTTGATGCTACTACTGATGTATATGTTGCTGCTTCTCATGTTATTTCTACAGATGTATATGTTGCCGCTTCTCATGTTGATGCTACTACTGATGTATATGTTGCCGCTTCTCATGTTGATGGTACTACTGATGTATATGTTGCTGCTTCTCATGTTGATGCTACTACTGATGTATATGTTGCTGCTTCTCATGTTGATGCTACTACTGATGTATATGTTGCCGCTTCTCATGTTGATGCTACTACTGATGTATATGTTGCCGCTTCTCATGTTGATGCTACTACTGATGTATATGTTGCTGCTTCTCATGTTATTGCTACTGATGTATATGTTGCGCTTCTCATGTTGATGCACTACTGATGTATATGTTGCTGTTCTCATGTTGATGCTACTACTGATGTATATGTTGCTGCTTCTCATGTTATTGCTACTGATGTATATGTTGCTGCTTCTCATGTTGATGCCACTACTGATGTATATGTTGCTGCTTCTCATGTTGATGCCACTACTGATGTATATGTTGCTGTTTCTCATGTTATTGCTACTGATGTATATGTTGCTGCTTCTCATGTTATTGCTACTGATGTATATGTTGCCGCTTCTCATGTTGATGCTACTACTGATGTATATGTTG